TGGGGCTCAAACAAGCTCTAACTTGCAAGTGAGCTACAACAAGATAAAAAATGATCAACATATCATCTGAGTATTTATCAGACAATAATAAAAAGGTTATATAAAACGACGCAAAAATGCAATTTTTTTTTAAGCTAGAGAAGGTTCTGAATATGAATATGATCTAATAAGCTAATCACGGAGAAAGCAGATGAGTTTCTGAAAAATGTATATATAAATATGCCAAAATTCCATTATTTAAGGTTTGCTTGAGCACTTCAAATCAAGACATAGCATCATGTCGTCATCGCTCGAAGATATCGGGTCACTTGATATGGAGCATGCACATCGTAGTTCATAAGAGAGAAACTAGATCAATTTTCTCTGAAAAATGTATTGAATATAAATGATCATGATTATTTTAGAGGTTACAGCTAGATCATTCTCTTGCAATAAAGCAACTTGAAGGCAAGAAGCAAAACAAGTAAAGATTTACAATTGTTATTTGTTGTAATGAAGATGATTTTGAGAAAATTCATTTATGTATGCAAGGATGCTAAATCACGATATTTCAAGAACGTGAACTTGAGCAGTATGAACAGCAAGTACCATGCCAACAAACGAGCATGGATGACTCGATTTTTATTTCAAGAATGTTTTAGAAAACTTGATAGAAAAGTTCTCTTGTTGATAATTGTCTTGCTCATCCCAAAAAAAAACTATTGAAGGTTGGAAAAATATTGAATTATTTCCTTGCCACCGTTACATAAGATCAAAGATTCAATCTTATGATGTGGGAATCATTCTATCTTTCAAGATGCATTATCATTGTTGATTTTATCGAAATCTTTTGGAGGGTTGTGAAATTGGAATCCCAAATCCAGAAAAGATAATGTTTTAAATGTCATGAATTTTGCAATGTCGGTTTGAACAACAGATGTTCGAGCACAATTGAAAATTATTTTTGATGTTGTGAATTTAGATCTACCGATAACGAGTTCAAAGAATTTGGATCTACGCTCAAATGTCGGAGGAATTCAACAATTGCATCTTTTAATCGAAGAGTCGAAGTGTCATCTACAATGAATGTTGAGTACATTTTGAACTAGCAAGGAGAAAATAAGGCAACTTCAAAGTTGTTGAGTGATTATGAAATTATTGAGAAGTAGAATTGACAAGGAAGATGAAGTTGATGAGTTCCCTACTGGAGCTTGTCTCCCACAAAGATGCACTCCAAGCAACAATCATATTTTTTTCTTGTTGCTACATCAGAGCTTCTTAATGCACCAAGGAAAATTAGAGACGAGGTACGATGAGACGTCAATTTCAAGAGAAAATAACCTTGGAATCATATTTTACAAAGACATCCTAATTTAATCATGTTATATAATATTATTTTAATGAAATTATTAATTTATTGATGATATAGTATGTATGAAATTACTAATATTAGGAATCTAAAATTTTTCAATACAATATATCAAAAAGTCGTTATCAAACTATTAAATTTATGAACGCAATGGTTTTTTAAACAAGGTTCCAAAGCTACTCCAATAAAATAACTAAGGGCTTGTCTGTGATTGCTTAAAAATTGGATTAAAAGTCTTTTTTTACCGTTACGTGGTCCAACGGCAACTATTTCAAAGAAACCTGCAGAATCTGTGTCACACGCGTCAGAAGGTGACAGACAAAAAATCAATTTCTCATTTCCAAAATCTACACCAGACATGTTCTAATTCAAATTAACTATTTTCTACGATGTAATTATAAGTCACGACAATCCCTCAATTACTTGCAATATGCGTTACTTATAATTCAAGTAACTAAAAATCGTAATCCAACTTAAATTTATGATCCAAATGGCAATATATATGGACACGGGTTTTACATCATATACCTAACCTTTCGATAAAAGTAATAATAAACTAATTTGTCACACGTGATTTACCTAAACTTGGATAGATTATTACCTAATTAAAGTTGTTGTAGCTTTGTTTAATATGAAAGAGAGAAACAGCTATAATTTACTTATACCTTTTAGTAACGATAACGAAGAGCATCGACAGGAAGTCGTGAAATTTTTCCACGTTATATCTCCGGTTTATCTAACAGAGATTATTCAGTGATAAGGTTGTTGAAATTCTGTCATAAAAGCCACTAAATTGTTGCCAATTCGCTAGCTTCTATCGAATTATGACTTGAACGGGAAAAAAATTTGTCGGTGGCCAAATTCAATTCCACTTTTGTCAATTTTACACACTTTTTTTTTCCACAATTTGCATATACGTGTGCACAAAAGATGGGCTAGCCGGAAACGCTGTGGAAAGGAATCACGGGCGGTGGCGGCCGCTTTGTGCATCTATGTTTTGACTTTATCTGTGCAATTCCCATATACCTACACCTTCAACCATAGCTGAATTCTAATAGAGTTTCTGTTTGAACCACATTTTTTTTCGTGAAAAACGAGTTTTGAACTATTGATTTTTTGGAAAATGTGTTGTTAAAAAAAAAGAGTTTACGTATAAAATTATTTTATTGAAGAATGTGTGGTTGAAAATGAATAGGAGAATGAAAATGAAAATTCTGATGTGGTTCAAACATGGGCAAAATTTTATGAATGCACGTGATTTAATTTTGATTTATAATATTCTATTAATGATATATTCATCCCATCAGAAGGTTACTCCTAACAAAAAAAAAAAAAGAAAAAAAAAATAGAGCGTGACCAAACATTTTATAGTATTTTTATAGGATTGACAAGAGTTTTCACGCATCATATAATTTATTGCAATTTATAGTATTTATTCCACCCACTACGACACGCAACAATTTAGTTTTAGATGCTTGTAAGAAAATACTTCTCGTTTTCTTAACCAAAGTAACAAGCTATGTGATTGTTCGAAAAAATAAATTTTGTGAAAAGTGATTTTTTAAAGAAATATTTTATTAAAAAGTAAAAAAAAAAATTATGAGTTCACTTAAATAATAATTTTACGATAAGAATGTGTAATTTAACATATATTTGAAAAAAAAATGAATTTTAAAAAAATTTGTATCAAATAGGGTTTATAGGTATCATGATTCAGTGCTACTATTAAAGATATTTCTTCATTACCTATATCTTCAACCAATTAAAATTAATATATATATTTTTTACAATTAGTAGTTGAAGGAAAGTCTAGATTTTTTCAAGTTTCAAGTTTTGCTGCAACGATTTTCTGTAAGGGTGTGTTTGATAGCTCCAATTTTCCTTGGAAAATGGAAAATGATTTCCTTTTCCACCCAATTGACTTGTTTGATAAGCTTTTTCTAGGTAATTGGATTTCCTCATTTTCCTCCCACGTGCACTATTTTCTTGAATTTGGTGAATTTGTTTTCCCACCATTTTGGTGGGAAAAGTTTTTCCAGTTTTTTTATTATTATTTTTTTGCAATGGAAACAAATTTTATGACCAATTGTAAAAAAAAAATTCACTTTAATGAACAAATTCCATGTAAAACGAAGTTAAACGAACACTAAATTTTGATGAAAAAATAGTCTTCTAGCAATTTTTTTTTTTTTTTTTACTTTTTGGCAATGGTAACAAATTTCATAAGCAATTGTAAAAAAAAAAAATCACTTTAATGGACAATTTTCATGTAAAATAAATTCAAACGTGAACAAAAAAATCCAAAATTTCAAAATTTTTCTGGGTGGAAAATTATACCAATCAAACACACTTGAAGTCATCTTCCCTGCAAAACATTTTCTAGACAAATCTTTTCCCTATAAAACATTTTCTTTCCATCCATTTTCCACCCTTGCAATCAAACGCACCCTAAGTTCAATTAAAAAATACTGTTATTTACTTTCTCGATCTTGTATTTGTATATGATTAAATTATTATTTTTATCTATATACTTCTATTTATTTGTAATTTAAAGTATTTATGAACCCAAATAAGCTTTTAAGCTTAGAAATAAGTAGAAAAGTGCGCTTCTTTTTTTTCTTTTGCCTATGTATTTTGAAATAGTGTTTTGTCGGAAATTGTATGGTTAAAAAAGAGGAAAAAGTTTAAAATTTACGTGTAAAATTATATTATTAAAAAGAGTAATGCTATTAATTCCCAGTTGGTAAAACTACCTAAATTGTGTTTGTAATCCAGAACGAATAATATTACTCTATTAAAAAAATGTGTTTAAACCTAACCAGTTATCCACTATTTTGTGTTACCTAGTCATGAAGGCCATATCTTCTCCAGTCCCAAGAACTCACCCACCCTGCTTTGAGTATTAATGATCTGTTACTTTGAGTATTAAATGATCTGTTACACACTTCCCCACGCAATCACACCAGGCTCCAATCCATCAACCTTCTTGTTTACTCTTCTGCTCCAAATTTTCTCACTTGAACAGGCTCAAAGACAAATAAAAAACAGACAAACTGACTTGTAAGTAGTATATGTTTGGGTTTTTTTTTTCAAACTGTTCAATAATGTATCAACACGTATCCGCTGTTTTTTGAATACGCTGTTTAATCTGTTTGTGTAGCATAATTGGATTTTCCACCATATAAAATAATTATATTCACATCAATTATATGTATATGTATGTAAGCATGAATTTTTGACTCAGTTTTCCATTACATATTTTAAACTGTTATTTCTCACAAGTTACATACAAGACAAACACATAATTCCAGAATTATATATCTGCAGCTGTTTTCACAAAATATATATACGTCTTTATCTGCTTGCTAGGATTTTGCCGTCTGGCGCTAACTTGTTTTCTTCTCTTATTTGAAAGGGAAGGTTAATTTTCTGGCTAATAAAATTTGGGTCTCTGAATTTTGACTTTTGAATCTCATGTGATCCCAAAGGTGCCATCTATTACCCTTGCTTTCTCAGTTTTCTTTAATGGGTGCATAATAATTTATACGATTGTAGCTGAAATAATCCTAATTCCCAGTCTTGTATTGCTGTTCTGTTTGAGAAATCTGGACTTTAGTTTCACTCAAGCTCGGTGTTATCTGCTTTTGTGATGATGAACTGTTGTGTTGTGAAGTCTGCAATCTGGGTTTTGTTCATATTGTACTTGGTATGTTTTTCTCGAGGATTTGATCCTGCTGATAAGTATTATATAAACTGTGGATCATCCACTGATTTTACTGTGGGTAATAGGACTTATGTATCTGATAAAACAGCATCTAAATTCCTGTCAACCCCTCAAGATATATTGGCTGATAGCAATTTAAAATCTATAACATCATCCAAGGATTCACTGCTGTATCGAACAGCTAGAGTATTTACTGGATCCTCTAGGTATACGTTCTCGATCAGCCAGAGGGGAAGGCACCGGATCCGCCTGCACTTTTATCCGTTTGTTTATCAGAATTATGATATGAACACTGCTACTTTCTCTGTTTTCTTCCAAAAGAATACACTCCTAAGCAATTTCAACCCGAAAAACCTTTCTGTTAAAGAATTTTCAGTCAGTATATCATCTGGAGACCTTGTAGTGACTTTTACCCCTGCGAATAGTTCATTTGCTTATGTCAATGCCTTGGAAGTTTTCTCGGAACCAGATTCCCTCATCACCAATGATGCCTCGCGTCTCAATCCACCAGGGCCATTTAATGGCCTGGTGACACAGGCTCTAGAGACCATTGCAAGGGTGAACATGGGTGGACCATTCGTGTCCTTTGAGAACGATACGTTGTGGAGAACTTGGGTTTCTGATCAGAGCTTTTTGATGCTACCAAACCTTGCCAAGAATGTGTCCAATATTGCTGCTGTTAGGTATCCTCCAGGAGGAGCAACTCCAGATATTGCTCCTCCTACTGTTTATGGTACTTGCAGTAAGATGAACTCAGAAAGTGATCCAAATAGCAATTTCAACGTGACGTGGGAATTTAGTGTGAATTCGGGCTATGCATACTTCATTCGATTGCACTTCTGTGACATAGTTAGTACATCTGCCAATCAGCTACTATTTAATGTTTTTATTGATTCCATGCTTGCTATTGGGGATCTTGAACTAAGTGCCAAAACCGATGGTCGTTTGGCCACTGCATTATATATGGATTTTGTTACCCCATTGATTGAGAAAAATAAACTACGTATAAGTATTGGCCCTTCTCCTCGGAGTGGTTATCCTGATGCCCTTCTGAATGGATTGGAGATAATGAAAATTAATGATTCCACGGGCAACCTTGCTGGGGAAATGTCTATACCTTCCCACCCTGGCTCCAAGAGGAATGTTGGACTAATTGTTGGGGTGAGTGTTGGGGTGACAGTTGCTTTGGTCATAATTGGCATTCTATTCTTTGTGCACAGAAGACGGAAACGAGAAAGCTTTGGCGATACCTGGGTTCCGATTTCTACTGATGGAAGAACTTCCCATTCTAAGGGAAGTAAATACTCAAGTGGAACAACAGGTAGTGTTGGCTCTAACTTAAGTTACCGCATTCCTTTTGTAGCTGTTCAGGAAGCAACAAACAACTTTGATGAGAGTTGGGCTATAGGAATTGGTGGCTTTGGAAAGGTTTATAGAGGGATTTTAAAAGATGATGTAAAGGTTGCCGTTAAAAGAGGGAATCCCAGGTCCCAACAAGGTCTAGCAGAGTTTCGAACTGAAATTGAGATGCTTTCTCAATTCCGGCACCGCCATTTGGTGTCCTTGATTGGGTATTGTGATGAAAGGAATGAGATGATACTAATTTATGAATACATGGAAAATGGGACCCTCAAAAGTCATCTCTATGGTTCTAATCTTCCAATTTTGAGTTGGAAGGAGAGGATTGAGATATGCATTGGAGCAGCAAGAGGACTGCACTACCTTCACACTGGCGATGCTAAAGCAGTTATTCACCGTGATGTGAAGTCTGCAAACATATTGCTTGACGAGAATCTTATGGCTAAAGTCTCTGATTTTGGACTTTCCAAGACAGGACCGGAGATTGATCAAACTCATGTTAGCACTGCTGTTAAAGGGAGTTTTGGGTACCTAGATCCAGAGTATTTCAGAAGGCAACAGCTGACAGAAAAATCGGACGTTTACTCATTTGGTGTTGTTTTGTTTGAAGTTCTTTGTGCTAGGCCTGTGATAGATCCATCTCTTCCAAGAGAAATGGTCAATTTGGCCGAATGGGCAATGCAGTGGCAGAAGAAGGGACAATTAGATCAAATTATAGATCCTAATCTTGCGGGAAAAATAAGACCAGATTCCCTCAGGAAGTTTGGAGAAACAGCAGAAAAATGCTTGGCAGATTTTGGGGTTGACAGACCCTCAATGGGAGATGTCTTGTGGAATCTGGAGTATGCTCTTCAACTTCAAGAGGCAGTGGTTCATAATGATCCCGAGGAAAATAGTACCATTGTTATCGGCCACCTCTCTCCACAAATTGGCGAATTTAATCATTTGGACACTAGCATTTCTGCTACTCAATCTGAAATTTCAAGTGGCGATGATCTGTCCGGCATTTCAATGAGTAAAGTTTTCTCACAACTGGTGAAGTCTGAAGGTAGATGACTCTATAGATCACATATAATTTGTTTAGCTCTTTTCGCTTTTTCTGTTCTTAGATTGATCATATAAAATGAATATTGTGCTCATATATCTCTATTTCAATGTCTTTCTATATCAAATACTGCAGAAACTTTTGGTTGTGACATATTTTTAATTTTACAGACTTCACTACGTTTGATCATTCTATTGATATTTTTTTGGAGCAATTGAAGTATTTAACTCTCTCTAATTTCGAGTACTCTTGTTCTTGGCATAATGATCCCAGGGAGACCTCTCTTTGAAGGAGATTATGTGCCCATTTGACACTCTTTAATTTATTTTATGATTTTCTACAGAATCATTTTCAACCACATATTCACACAATAAAATATTCTATACACGTATACAAAAAACTTTTCCCTACTTTTTAACTACACATTCTCCTGAAAATCACTATTCAAAACTCCTTTTTTCTACCAAAATGGTTGTCAAACAGGCTCTATGTTTGGTAGTTTCAAACTTTTAAGTTATTTATTTTGCCAAAATTTACTTTTCGAGAAACTAAGTTCAAACATGCTATTGGAATAATTAATATGTCGTTCATACTTGTCAACGTTACTGTAAAAGATTGGCTTAAAAATCTAAATGTAGCTGGCTTATTTTCCAAACTTTCATTTATAGCTCAAGGTACGTATAATACTAAAGAAGAACACAATCTAAACGATTGATTAAAAAAGAAAAAAATAGATTGTGTTCGATTAAGCTAAAAAGTTACTTATAAGTTCATTTTTTTTACATTCAAAGTCAAACATTAATTTATATCACACATTCATAATTGTTACTCATTTATTATCCACACATTACATGAGACCCAATATTTCCGCCCTAAAAAGTTCTCAATAAGCTTACCCGAACAAAGTCTCAGTGATGTGTGCATATTAATCTGGGGATATAGATTAAAAGGGATATGTTAAAATGTTGGTTGAGCTTACTCAAAGTTGATGTTATTACTCTTTCATTTGGAAATATAACTTTGATCATTTTTGGAGTGGAGACATATATGATGATCTCGATATTGGCGGAGCTCGAGCACTGTGCCCGAGGAGCATTTTTCCAAATTGGTCTCAACGTCTCGTGACCTCATTGGGTATGCCTCATCGGGATTACCCGTTCTCGGCCACTGTGCCTTCCTCAAAATCATGACTAAACCTCGTACCGTACAGTCCTCGACTCATTAGGACTCTCCCTCGTATCAAGATTTATCCAAACCTAAGAGAAAGAGTCCTAAAGTTAATTTGTTACCTCATACTGAAAGGATTCTACCATCGGAATCCCATTTCTATTAAAAAACGTGGGTAATACAAAACCAATTGAGTTGCAACTTCCAATCATGTTAGAACTCATAGGGATTTCAACATTGTAATCATACTAGGAATTCACTACTTACCTCTATAAATAAATCATTTCAATTCATTATCAAGATACGTTTTTATATAATTTTTAGCACATACCTTTTCTCAAATTCTCCATCTCTGACTTAAGTATCAGAGGGGGCAACGAAGACACACATCGACGCCTTTGTTTTAGGTACTGAAAGATCTTGTTCGTATTCATTCTCAGTCTTCAAGCTCGAAAATCAACGTGTACGATTTTTGGCAGCATCAATATATATATATTTTTCATTTTTTTGCGCTAATTAATCACAAAAACCGAGCTATACAACTACTAATGAATTTCCTACCCAACGAATGGTTTTCAAATTGCTCTTGTTGGTATGGTTTTTTAGGTGATGTCTATCCATCTTAACAAACGATAACGAGCCACATTTGGAAAAACAATGTCCTGGCAAGAAATGTAACACCTCAGTATATTACGTTAAACTATCATTTACATAGGAAAATGTGCACATAAAGACATGTCCGCATTAGTAAATAGTAATGTAATGCTATGAAGCTGCTGTTAGATTTTATTAAATCTTTAAGAGCTTGTTTGGGAGAGATTTTTGGGGGAAAAATTGATTTTGAATAGTGATATGATGGGAAATATATGGTTGAAAAAGAAGAAAAAATTATTTATGTGATGGAAAAATATTATTTTATTGAAGAATGTGTGGTTGAAAATGAAAATTGATTTACTATAAAAAAATCTAANATTACTTTTTTTTTTTTTTTTGATTTGGTCAAACAATTTCAACACCTAAGGCGCATATGACAAGCTATTTGACGCAATACTTTTTTTTTGGTTTGCTTGTATATTGAGTAGATAATCTTGTTTGAACAAACAAGAGTTTAAGTTTAGGAAAATTTGAATAGTGTGTTTTACACGTTTATTTGAACTTCTATACTTAAGAAATTATTGCTAATTGAGTGAATATCTATATAATTTAACTTTTGTCTTGTGTAGCTATTTCCAATTAGTCGATCAAATTCTGATAGATTTTACCGTAGGTTTACAATATAAAAATAAAAATGTCCAGGAATTAAGAGAGAGGCTAAGTGTACCGGTGGTGGGTGACAAACACTCTGACTGACCCCTCACATTAGGGGAGGGTCCACATTTTTTGTTTCAATTTTTTATTCATGTGGGGCCATCCATCATGTGAGAGTTTGTCAACTTTTTTGTCAAAATTTTTTTGTGCAAGTAGCAGGGTTGAGAAATGTAACACCTCAGTATATTACGTTAAACTATCATTTACATAGGAAAATGTGCACATAAAGACATGTTCGCATTAGTAAATAGTAATGTAATGCTATGAAGCTGCTGTTAGATTTTATTAAATCTTTAAATCTCAAGAACTTGAAAATTTAATTACTTTATTATCAAAATCCTCCAGCAAAATTATCAAGAGAATTATTAAATGAAGAATATAGCTTAATTTATTGGAAATTATTATTTATTATTGAGTCTTGAATATTGACTCTTTTTATTCTTGAGTTCTTGATCTTGATTTTGACTTTTTGCTCCATAATTTTGATCGTCTCAATTCCTTCTTCTTGGATTGTGGATTGCTTGTTTTTTATTGTGAATTTTTTTATTTTTCTTTTCAATATGTTTTCTCTTGTATTCTTGTGTTGATGAGATGACACAAAAAATGAGAATTAATTATGAATTGGGGATCATAACCTTATTTATATTTCCATATGTATATAATCCTATCGTCAAATATAACCTTAATGAATTCGATCTCTACATATATTTAGCTCGTACTTTATTTAGATGTCCAAAGCTCAATACTTAAATTCTTTATTAGATCATTTTAAATAATCTTAACTTTGACATTTCTTCATCTGTAAATAATTCTCTATGTGAAAACACATAGCCGGTGGCTGATCTTTAATTAGGAAAAAGAGTGGCCCTATTTATTTTTCCATGTGGATTTAGCCTCATCATCAAATACAATATCAATTGATCTGATCTCTACACATATTTACCACACACTTTATTTAGATGACCAAAGTCCAATAATTAAAATTCTTTATTAGATCACTTTAAACGAACTTACCTTTAAAATAACATTTATACACAATTAATTACATATGCAGGCCCACATAACAAATTAATATTTTTTTCAACAATTTCCCACTTGAGCCACATATGTTATGTTACCTTATAAATGTGTATAACCTTATGAATTCAAAACTTTTGCTATTATAACCAAAAGCATCTTTGAACAATCTCGCTCATCAATTATGTCAATATAGGATCAAAGCGATTTTCGCTACAAATATCATAACTAAATCCATCAATGATCACGTATATCAGTACAATCAAATGACATAGATCAAGTATAGATGTGTAATATGGAAATTACATCTAATGTGATCCAAACATGCATATTTCCAACTGGTCCTACCTTATTTTTTAATGAGATCAAACCAAAATTTTAATCAGCGTGAAAATGAACTAAATACTTTACTTTTGTAGAATAACCCGAATATCTATAAGCATAAGATATGTCTGAATCAGATAACAGCCAAATACAAACTCCCATTAAAAAAATAAATCATCAAAAGAAGTAACACTCATATGAACAGTATGCTCAAAAAAGACCATGGGTGGTAGCCCTTTAGTAAGCGAATCTGCAATCATGGAGTTTGTTCTAATATGCTTTATAGAAACTTGAGTACTCTGAATTCTTTCATTAATAGCTATAAACTTGATGTCTATAAATTTTGACATTATCAAGTTTCTGTTAGAATACAAGACTGTTATGTCATAGAATAACTTAAGCGGTATTTCAATTCAATCCAAAATGTGCAGTCTATCTGCAATCATATTCCATGATCAAAATCAAAATATCCAATGATCTTCAATTGGTCTAATTTTATGCATGTGATCATGTAATATTTAGTTTTCTATATATACCGAATAACCTACTTGGCTGCTTTCCAAATATCCATCCCAGAATTACTTAAATATAAGCCAAACATTCCAACAATAAATGTTATATTCGAATGTGTCTAAATCTAAGCATACATTAAACTCCAAACTGCAAAAGCACAGAGAATTTTCTATATATTTTTTTTAAGTTTAACCTCAGGACATTATTGAGACTAAATTTGTCTCTTTTAACAATAGGGGTATCATATGATTTACATTCCTACATCAAAAAAAATTTAAAAACCTTCTTGATATAACTCTTTTGTGATAATTCAAAAATACTCCGAAAACGATCTCGGTGTATCCGTATCCCACCACAAAAGAGGCGTCACCAAGATCTTTAATTTCAAAATTTTATAACAGAATCCCCGAGTTTCGTAAATAAGCCTATATCATTACGTGCAAACAATATGTCGTCAACATTCAATACTAAAAATATACGCTCACTCCCACTGAATTTGTGATATACACAATTATCAATTGAATTCATCTCAAAACCAAACGAAATAATTATATGAAATTTGTGATACCATTGACGGGAAGCTTGTTTATGCTCATAGATGAATTTCTTTAATTTGTAAATTATTTGATGTAGATCAAGATCAAAATGTATCACAAGTGCTATTATAATCCTAAAATAGTAT